AAGTTTTAAGATGGATTTGATTTTTATTCAAAGGTGACATCATCAATCAACATGTTTACAGCAGCAAAAACTTATATTTTTAGATTATTAAACATAAACTTAAACCTAAAATATTCAAAACTTTTTATTTCCTTTTTTTTTAAATGATCAAATAGAATAATTTTTAAAAAGATTTAAAAATATGAGAAACTATAATTTTCTAATCCTCACATTTATGCAATCTAATAATTCTAACTATGAATCATAATAGTTTTAACAAAGTTTAAAATGTTAAAGGTTTACTCATCAGATTCAAAGAAACTTAAGTTTGTGGCAAGTGTTCAGTAGTAGTGTTTGGAAAAATTTGAGCTACTCAATGTATTATAGAATATAAACATACATCCGTATACCGCGTAATGTCGTCTTTACCCTCCTCCTCCTATCTCGGAGCAACCCAAAACCAAACAATTTTAGCCGACATTACTTCTATACTCCGAAAAAGGAAATTTTAAAAAATCGAAACGTTTTAACTTATAGTGAATACTTATATCCTTTAATAACTCTGCAATCTATAGCAATTTTACTTAAACACTGGGTCTCTTATTTTCAGAAGTATTATCCAAATGTTTTAAACTGACCCATCACCCATCACTCATTACTTAAACACTGGGTCTCTTATTTTCAGAAGTATTATCCAAATTTTTTTAAACTGACCCATCACCCATCACTCCTTACTTAAACAACTGGGTCTCTTATTTTCAGAAGTATTATCCAAATTTTTTAAACTGACCCACCACCCATCACTCCTTACTTAAACAACTGGGTTTCTTATTTTCAGAAGTATTATCCAAATTTTTTTAAACTGACCCATCACCCATCACTCCTTAATTACCCCCCCGGACACACCCAACTAGTAAGTTTATTTTTTTTAAATGTAAAACAATGTTACACCAAGTTTTATTTTATTAAACAGCAAAAAATGTCATACTAATAATTATTTCAACTAAAACTATATTTTGTAGTTTGAAATAAATTCATTTATTGGGACTATGTGTATTGTGTAAAAGGAGTAGAGGAGCCATCAACCTTCAGTTCAAGATTTTGATTCTACAACATTGGAACTTTAAAAGTACATAAATTCTTAACTGTATTTCTTTTAAAAAACAAGTTTTGATCCCATTTGCACTTTTAAAAATTACGCCATATTTATTTTTTATATAAAGAAGTTTTTGAAATAATTTTCAAAAGGAATCAAGTCTTTTCCACATATTAAATTTTGTGATCCCCTTATCTTCTACTGCGTTAATTCTTAAATACATAAAATTTGTAATGCGACTAGATTAACTTGATACCTGTTTAATATTGTGAATATATATTGGAACTTACCATGTAACATATATATATATTTGTAAATAGATCAGTTAGAATCAGAACTCCACTTTTATAACAGTGTAGAGTAATTGAACCCTCGTTGTAACATACAGGTTGAGATTATACCTCAGTAAATGGTATAGATCTATTAATAGCTTCTTTGATAGCTTCGCTTGTGTCCCTGTGTTATATTTAGAGTTTGATTAATAGCTTGTTTGATAGCTACGCTTGTTTCCCTGTGTAACATTAAGAGTTTGATTAATAGCTTGTTTGATAGCTACGCTTGTGTCCCTGTGTGGCATTTAGAGCCCTGGTAATAGCTTGTTTGATAGCTACGCTTGTGTCCCTGTGTGGGATTTATAGCTTGATAAATATCTTGTTTGATAGCTACGCTTGTGTCTGTCATTTAGAAGCTCAATTAATAGCTAGTGTCCGTATTGTTGATATGTCACTAGATTGTAGTCGTGTGAATCTTGTCCTGATTTATTCTGATAGAAGACGGGTTGTAACTGAACTGATACAGTTTGGGACGATCTGTTTTAAGAGTAGTGCATTTACTTCAGGTCAACAACATTGGGTTGCAAAGATATAGGGATTAGAAATCTGAGTTTGTGGCAAAGTCTCAATTCCTTTGCGTGCTTTTTCTTTGGGTTTCAGTTATTTTTCAGTAGATTTTCATTTATATTAAAATGGATACTTTAGGATAAAAATGAAAAGTTTCTTTATAAAAATGATAAAATCCTGATTTTCAAAGATAGATCGGCTCAGTGATCACTTTTCTTCTCAGAAGAGAAGAATAGGCTTCAACTAAATATGAATTTATTGTGGAGATTGAGAAAAGGAGAATTCAAGGATGAAATTTTAAAGAATCTGAGAAGAAAATTTCAAAACAAGATGGACCATAAACATACAGAGGCTTCCCATAAACCAAAAATTGTAACGACTTTCTTATCGTCTTTGGTCCACGCGGCATTTTTAGAAATATTTCTGTTCAAACAATTCTAACTATAACATTCTAACAGAAAACCTTAGTCTTGTCCGATGTCACTTATCTACCCACATTTTTTAAAGCTCATGAAAGACTCTTTTTGCTTTATTTTTGGACCAATAATTTAAAATTTAAAAAATATAATCTGAATGTCGTCTTCTATTTACTGGGACACCATGTGTTTTGCTTAATCCTGGAATGGCACTGTGGAAATTGATAAATTAAACTAAAATAATGAATTCTGATGTTCTATGAATAATTTAAAAAGTGAGAAGAGAAACCTCTTCAGGATCTTTAAATATTGATTTGCGAATTGAAGAGTTAGTAAAGAATACATCCTGGAAATATTATCTTTTTTAAAAATCGGTTTTCAGATCTTAACGTTTTTTTCGTAAAATTATAATATGAAACATTGTTGGTTTCTAGATATCTTTTTTCTTCACGTTTTTCACACTAAACATTATTATTATGCACAAAACATTAAGATTACTTTTCAAATGTGCTCAAATGTGCATGCACCAAAACTGATATTTTTATGTTGGAATCTGTTGAGGGTAAGCAGGCATATTTGTATTTAAATATAAGACATGAGATGATACAGCTATATTTGCTGTGTACTTTTGACCCGCCTAACCAGGGTAAGTTGTTTGCAATATTCCAGAAGTACATTCCACATATTCCAAAAATGGAGGAAATCATTAAATAAAAAAAGATTTTGATAGACTCCGGAGATCTAAGTCATTCTTTCTATACTGGTCCTTGCATTGACTTTCATACAGGGTGTCCCACGAAACATGACATTTTATAAATAGTTTAGAATGTCATCTTCCATATACTGGATAAGGTTTAAAGACTTTTTTGTAGTTTATATAGTTCGTAGAAAAATCTTTTACTCCAATATATCTTAATCTGTGATCGATTTTACTTTACCATAATAAAACTGCCATATAATGTTTATTATTATTCTCTTTGGTATCAAATTTTAAAATATTCACCAACTGTCATGTTTCGTGGGACATCCTGTATCTGAAGAATCTGAATTGATTACTGCTTTTAAATTTTGACATTTTTGGTTCAATATGCTGAAACGATACCAATTAGGTAAAAATAACGTAGAAATTAATGCATATTGAATATTTACAATTGTTAACACTCTGTGGGACGTGTCTGGTATAAAGCTAGAGTAGAAGGATATTTACAGACTGTATTGTTGTCAGTCCCAGAGAATTCTTTTCTAAATAATGATTTTCTGTATTTAATTTAATACCTCTATCCTTGCCAACTCAGCCATCCGCCATCGCTCCCTCCCTCCCTCCTCCCTCCAGCTTCATCTCAATCTTCTACTTCTCTCCTCCCTCCACTCTCCTCCCTCCTCTCTCCTCCCTCCTCTCTCCTCCCTCCTCTCTCCTCTCCTCCCTCCAGCTTCTTAGGATCCTTTGCCGCAAGCATTCCAAGTATTCCAATTTCATATTCAAGAATTCAGAAATATACAAATTTGTAGAAATCCTCGTCTTTGATTGTCAGCTGATGCTGCTGTACTGCGTAAGCCTGCTCGTGTACATTATAGGGTTTGTTCAAATAAGGAAATATTCACACAGGGAACATCTTGTCGCCTTTTTTTATTTAAATGATGAAATGTATAAAAAGTGCCCTAACATAACTCTTTTATCAATTCTGACCAATTTTTTTTAATCCTTAGCGACATTTCTGAAAAAGGAACGAAGACGACATTTATTCCAAATTATTTCTGGTTCTTACTGTATTTCAAAGGTAAATTTAAGAACTGATGTGCATAGTTTCATTATATGTTCTAAATAAAAATGACAATGCTATTTTAAGTCTTGCATTAAAAAGTGTGGTGAAAAATATCTTTATTCTTTTCCAAAAGGTACTCTATACTTTTCTTTTTTCTTTAACTCTAATTAAATATAGTACCGGCCTACTAATACACAAGAACTCAAATTGGAAATATTCTAAAAATGGTTGTAGGATATTTTCACATTTCCGGAAGTATATTCCTTGCAATGGACGATACCGGAAATTTGGTCCCCATGTCTCCAGAATTTAGATACTATCCGACATCCCTCCGACCTCAATTTATGTATAAGCAGGGAAAGGATGGGGGAGGGGTAAATCTTTAAATATTTTGCCGGAAGGAAACAAGGGATATTTAGATACATTATTTTTTATTCTTATCCTCCCTGTTTCTCCCTTCTTATCCATCCTGTTTTTCCCTCCTTATCCATCCTTCGTTCTCCATCCTGTTTCTCCCTCCTTATCCATCCTGTTTCGTCCTCCTTATCAATCCTGTTTCTCCCTCATTATCTATCCTGTTTCTCCCTCCTTATCCATTCTTTTTCTCTTGCCTTATTCATCCTGTTTCTACCTTCTTATCCATCATGTTTTACCATCCTTATCCATCCTGTTTTTTCCTCTTTATTCATCCTGTTTTTCCGTCCTAATCCATCCTGTTTCTCCCTCGTTCTCCATCCTGTTTCTCCCTCCTTATTCATCCTGTTTCTCCCTCGATCTCTATCCTATTTCTCCCTCCTTATCCATCCTGTTTCTTTCTCATCAATTATCGTTTTTCTCCCTCCTTGTCCCTTATTTTTCTCCCTTATCCATCCTGTTTTTTCTTTCTAATCCATCCTCTTTCTCCCTTCTAATCCATCCTGTTTCTCCCTTCTAATCCATCCTGTTTCTCCCTTCTAATCCATCCTGTTTCTCCCTCCTTATCCATCCTGTTTCTCCCTTCTAATCCATCCTGTTTCTCCCTTCTAATCCATCCTGTTTCTCCCTCCTTGTTCATCCTGTTTCTCCCTTTTTATATCCCGTTTCTCACTCTATATCCATTATCCATCTCAAATACATTAAAAATGTACTAAAACCTGAATTTTTTCTTTTAAAGTATTGAACAGAAACAAATTTTCAATATATTTTCAGTTCTTTTATACAAGATTGATGTAAGACATTGTAGATATTGAATAGAAACTTGCATTGTACAATCACAGATTACACTGATAGGGCAAATAAGCTATTTTTTTTGAAGGCATATGGGTAAACTTTTGTTGACTCACTTCATAAACGCATGGAGTCGGAGACGTCCTTAAGCCGAACACTGGCCGATGAGATTTGGACTCGTGTCTCGAGTCCCACACTTTAATCTTTGAATGTAATATTGTTTATTTGTTTAAAATAAATGTTTGAAAACTTGTCTTGTTTTGTATCGTGCTTTTAATGTCTGTCTTGCTTGACTCTTCTACATATTTTATTGGCCTTTTGGCCTTACAATTGATATTTATGTCTTCGTTAATTTGTTTAATGTTTAATATTCTATTCTCTGGTCTTGTTCATCTTGTTCGTGTTGTTCGTTTTGTTCGTCTTGTTTGTCTTGTTCGTCTTGTTCGTCTTGTTCGTCTTACTCATCTTGTTCGTCTTATTTGTCTTGCTCTTCTTGTTCATTTTATTTGTCTTGTTTGTCTTGTTTGTCTTGTTTGTCTTGTTTGTCTTGTTTGTCTTGTTCGTCTTGTTCGCCTTGTTTGTCTTGTTTGTCTTGTTCGTCTTGTTCGTCATATTCGTCTTGTTCGTCATATTCGTTTTGTTCGCCTTGTTCGCCTTGTTTGTCTTGATTGTCGTGTTTGCCTTGTTCATCTTGTTCATCTTGTTCATCTTGTTCAGCTTGTTCGTCTTGTTCATCTTGTTCATCTTGTTCATCTTGTTCATCTTTTTCATCTTGTTCATCTTGTTCATCATGTTCATCTTGTTCGTCTTGTTCATCTTGTTCGTCTTGTTCATCTTATTCATCTTGTCGTTGTTCTCAAATTTTGTCGTTGTATTTTTCCTCGCTTTGTATTTTCCTCTGGTTTTTGTTTATTCTTGAGATTATTACTGTTCTTTGTTTAGTTTATTCTTGAAAACATTACTGTTCTTTGTTTAGTTTATTCTTGAGAACATTACTGTTCTTTGTTTTGTTTATTCTTGAGAACATTACTGTTCTTTGTTTTTATTCTTGAAAACATTACTGTTCTTTGTTTAGTTTATTCTTGAGAACATTACTGTTCTTTGTTTTGTTTATTCTTGAGAACATTACTGTTCTTTGTTTTGTTTATTCTTGAGAACATTACTGTTCTTTGTTTTGTTTATTCTTGAGAACATTATGTTCTTTGTTTTGTTCAAAAACATAATTTGTTCTGTTTGCAAATAACTGCTTTAAAATTTCATTTTTCATCAAAATGATAGAATTTAGTATTTTTCTGTTTATGTCATTACTGGATACTGTAGAAAGCTGAGAGAGGAGTAAAGTTGGATAAAATTGGATTTTAGATTAACTTATTTCCCAAACATATAGAAACTAGAAACTAATCTTCACAAAATCTTGGTTTTCTCTTTAATATAACTCAATCTTTCACTCAATATATTTCTGACTTTTGTTCAATATCTATATATACTTTGTTTGTCTTGGTGTTTGTTTGTTTGTGTCCAATAAACGTCAAAACGGCTAAACCGATCGGGCCCAAATTTTTTGTTGTACCTCACGTGACACCAGGGATGGTTCATGGATGATCGAATTTTCAAAGATTTGCCTCTAACAAGATTCAATTTTTGAAAATTTTAAAAATCCACGAAACTTTTTTTAAAAATCCGCGAAATTTTTCGTTTGTTTTTGATTTACAATGTATACAAAGAGAACATGTTCAGTCTTTCACTCGGTATATTTCAGACTTTTATTCAATATAACTCAGATTTTTGTTCAATATAACTCTGTCTTTCACTCAATATTTTACAGATTTTTTTTCAATATATCACAGACTTTTAATCAATATATTTCAGACTTTTGGTGGATATAACTCAGTCTTTCTTTAGAATATTTCAGACTTTTATTCAATATAACTCAGATTTTTGCTGTAAGCTTTACTAAGCGTTCCAAATATTTTTCTTGTGTGTCAAACTTTGTTAAGCGTTCCAAATATATTTTTGATTTTCCGAATATTTATCTTACTCGAAATTTTTGTATGATGTTCCAAATATTTTTTTGTCATAAATATTTGTCTCATTAAAAGATAGTTTTGATCCTCCAAATGTTTGTCTCCTTCTAGAGTGTGTCACCTACAAATGTACAATTCCTCCAAGTATATGTCTCCTCCAATGTTTGTCTCCCTCTATATAGTGTGTCACCTACAAATGTACAATTCCTCCAAATATATGTCTCCTCCAAATGTGTGTCTCCTTCTATATAGTGTGTCACCTACAAATGTACAATTCCCCCAAATATATGTCTCCTCCAAATGTTTGTCTCCTTCTATAGAGTGTGTCTTCTACAAATGTACAATTCCCCCAAATATATGTCTCCTCCAATGTTTGTCTCCTTCTATATAGTGTGTCACCTACAAATGTACAATTCCCCCAAATATATGTCTCCTCCAAATGTTTGTCTCCTTCCAGGTCTATCTCCTACAAATGTATGATTTCTCTCTCTGCATATGTATATAAAATAAAATTGTGCATTTGTACAGACAGAGAATTTTGAGCTTATTCGAATTTTGATTTTATACAATTTTAAAATTAACTCTTATTTTTAATCCTGCGTAATTTCAAGTGACCCTCCATGCAAAGATGGCAATGCCCGAATCACAATAGCTTAAAAGCTTTGTCTGATCAAGTATAACTTAGATATCTATGTTTATAATTTTCAAAACTACTTATTTTCAATTTATCAGAAATAAAAAACATTCAATCCATAAAAACGGCAACATTTTTCACATTATTGATCAGTATCCGAATTTAATGAATTTAAGCCGCGCGTCTCAATTCCTCCAAAAACCGGATTTAATTGAGCGCCGGCTTAAATCTTGAAAAATTAAATACAATTTTAAGTGAAACCAATCATATTTGAGCCTCGGCTTAAATTTAAGCCGCGGCTCAAACTCTTTGAATCTGGCCTAAGATTAAGGTTTCAAGGGTACCGAATTTTGAATTGCCATCTTTCAGTTCCTTTTATACAATTTCCATATTAGTTTTATCTTCACATCAAAAATCAAAAAAAGAATTCAAAAAGGTATACAAAAATATATTGAACACTATCTTTAAAAATGGTTTAATATCCCCTGTTCAGGTGATCCAGACGAACCACAAATGCATTAAGATAAATAATCTGAAGTTTAATGTCTGCCAACGGCCTATCCATTAACATGATTTACAACCTGTTAATAAATCTTAGATATTATCTTTTTATGTCCAATCTGTGAAAGGTTTATTGGGATATAAAAGGTAAGAAAAATGATTACACGTACAGGGATTGTTAGAGTTATTTCATGTTAACCTTTAAACATTTGTGATTTTAATTAAATTAGAATGTTCTTAAAGCAAAACACAACCATGATCATTTCTCAACAAAATATTTTTAACTTCATAATATTTTAAGGCCAGGTTGGTGAATAATTAAGTAAGTTTTAGTTAAAGGTTTGTTACACATTTTACTAAGAAATTACAAACATCAAAACACATTGGTAAACAAAGAATTTATCAATTTTTATAATTCCTACATGTGTCCACAAGAAAACTCCGACTTCGAACCTTTATTTACAATTTATCTCACTGTTCCTAGTAGTGAGATTTAGCGAATCACCTGAATAACTATTTACAAGTCGAATTGTAACATCCTGTTTGTTTCGACGTATTTCAGTCATATTTTTATCTCTTAATCAAAATACATCAAAAATATCATGAAAGTCTTCATATCGTATACATTAATATTTAAAACATATGTGTGGTCCAACAAAAATAAAAACTATACGAAAAATCTATAAATGGCTATCAAAGTTAAGGGTAACTGACCAGAACCGTGTAATACGTCGAAATAAAATGTGTACACAACTTTTCCCCCTTACCTTTATAATATTTTAGTATACAGTGATAATCAGAAAACTCCGGAACTGGAAGACGACTTTAAGAGTAAAGTTTTAACTTTAAAAAGTCTGATGAGCCTGGGAAATAGTAGTTGTACAGTGTTAACACACAAATATCACTTAGTTGGTGATTTGATAGTTGTCTAGTCAAACTATTTCTTTGTAAAAACATCAAATACACTACTGATAAAAAGTCTTCTTCCTATTCCAGAGTTTTTTGGTCATCACTCTACATTGGTGTTTTAAAGAAAAAAAATAAAGATTTGAGAAATAGATAAATTCCAATCTGCACATAGTCAAAATGTTGAATTCTAAGCTTACACTTTTTTGCTTTTACGGTCGATGAAGAAAGATATGTGCCCACTGAAATCTAGACAACTTTAAAAGTTATTCATAATTTTTTAAACCGTCTCGACTTTTAAGTATCACAACGCCTTGGCCATTGGTTTTACATTACCAACTTTCTAGCCCCAGGCCTGTTCATTTCAAAATTGCAACTAGCTTGTTCTAGCTTAAGTTTGAAAACCCAAACCTTCATTTAACGTTTTTCAGTGGCCCTTTAATATAGAAACTTAAACTTTATCAGCTCTCACCCTTTCTCCGGCTCTCACTGATAAACTTCAATCGCTGGTGACTCGATTTTTGCGTAAGAGCATATACATCTTGATTTGCAGTGTGCTATGTACACTGTACACTGTACACTGTACAGCATATCTTTAAATGTATAAGACAATTCTGCAGACTCGAATTTATTATATTTCGACTTTAAATTATTCGTGAGATATTTAGGTAAAAAATTGAGGATTAGAAAAAATGTTAAAGATCAAAGAATGATTTTCCTTTTAGTTGAACACCATCCCTCCCACTTTCCTTTTACAAAAGAAAACTTTTTTATGATTTCTTTTACTCTGTTTTCATTAGGGTTTCCACGAAATGGCTAAATCTTTTGCGCAAAATTTGCGCTATTTTCACGCAAATTTTATTTTTGCTAACTTTTGCGCTATTTTTGCGCATGAAACGCAATGAGTTTTGCGCGGTTTTGCGCTATTTATTTTGCGCAATTTGCGCAAAACCGGAAATATTTTTTGCGAAAATTGCGCATGAAACGAAATTTTAGTTTTGCGCAATTATTTTTGCGCAATTTGCGCAAAACCGCAAGTTTTACGCAATATGTAACTTTTTAGGCACATTGTCAAAAATTGATATTCTAAGCTTAGAATTAAACAACTGAAGATTTATTCCATATACCAAAAAAAATATTAACATACGAGTATGATAACGATTATACTACACTCAATTGGTTACTTCCAGTTACAAAAAGTTTAAATTATAAGGGACCAAAATTAATAAAATAGAAATTAGAGAGTGTGAAACTTGGCAATATTTTAATCCTATTAAATAATTTCAAGTGACCCGGCCTTAAAAGCTTTGCTTAATCTGCAAGTATGAATTGTATTCTTAAATTTCTTTAATCAAATTTCTGAAATCTTTTTAATCTCGTATAAAATAATGCAAGAAAGTAACCAATATCTGAAGAATCCACTTTTAGGAGATATGCATGTCCAAAACTAAAATTGTCGAGAAAATTGTGAGATTTTAACTCTTCTTAACTGTCATTGGTCAATTATGTAAAAGTGACCAATAGGAAGACATTCCAAAACAAGATTTTTCCAGAATTGAATTCTAAGAAACACACACCGTCACCAACCGCTTGATTTTTACGAAATTGCGGATTTGCGCAAAACTCTTGTTGCGGAATTGCGCAAAATTTGAGTTTCGCAAAAGCGGAATAGGGCAATT